GAAAAGCAAGGGTGCAGCAGACACCTGCAATAACCCAAGAACCATGGGGTTTCTTTTTTGCTTACCGTGGTTCCTAGGGTAGTCCTCCTGGCCTCCCACGCCGTTCTGAGACGAGGAGCCAGCAAGGAGCGTCCGACCTCGATCGGAGTCAAAGCGCCCCGGTGCGCTCGTCCCCGCCGCCCAGTTTCCTCGGCGCGGCGTCGTGGGACTCGTCTGGTCCGTCGTTCCCCAGGGGTTACCCAGGTCTACGGCCCAACGAAGGAACAAATGCTCTTCCGCGTTTGGGAATGGAGGGAACAACCGGGATGTCAGCAAACAGGGAAGCTGAAAAGCTACCTGATGCTGTCCTCCTCCACAATATCCGTGCTTCTTCTTATCTTCTCTTCAATTTTCTTTCCAATTCGAGTGCTCTGAGAGAGCACAGTCCACCACAACCTGCTCTAAAGGCAGGGCCGGAGAGACTGGGAATCTGAGGGACAAGCCCCTCCCTCTCCGTGCCTCAAGAGTCTGCCGGCCCTGCCTTCGGAGGAGGGAGGAGCTAACCCAGGAGTTTGGAGTCCAAAGGACTGCTCCACTCCTGGACCACCGGAGAAGCACCAGCCACCACTCCGGAGCTTCGCCGCTCCTCCCGCACCCGAAAGGCACCTGCTCATTTAAAGGACTTTATCTGTGGGTGCATTGCAGACCAAGGGGAGAGTGGTGTAGTGTTTCAGGACCCGACCGTGTGGTCAGCTTGGGCACTACGCGGTCAAGTACAAGCATCGAGCTTTGCTCCAACAGACAATGGACGATACGGATCCTTGCCCGCACCAATCAGAGGGCTAGGCTCCAGGCTGAGAGCCTGTGGGACTCTCAGCCACTAGTTTTGGACCTATTGGGAAGTGGGGGGGTGTTTTGGGTGGTAGATTCACGGGGGATATAAGCCAGCCTGCAAGCCGGCTAAAGTTGTCTTGTTCTACACCAAATAAAGTACGCTAAGCTGAAATCACTCATCTGTCTGCGTACTTTTCACTGAGAAACACAGCACAGACTCTGGAGTCCAGGCGTGGTGGCCCAAGCAGGGGTCACGCCGTCTCACTTCTCTCAGTTGCCGGCCGCACTGCTGATTTCTTTGCCGGCAGGAAGAGACTCCCCACAGTCTAGCACTGTTGTCTGATGCACCACTGTTTCCATTAAGGGAGGCACTGATGACCCGTAACAGACAGTCCCAGGCTGCTCATATCATCTCCCAGCTTTGGGGAGTCTGTTGCTGTCTGAGCACGTGGTAGTGTCCCAGGTGGGCCTGTGTTGTGGGAGAACATCGTGGGGTTGGATCTCTTTTGGTCAGTAGATATCATCGTGTGTGTGCGTGCGTGTGTGTGTAAAGCACTATCCAGTCATCTCCAACGTATGGCGACCCTGGGAATTAATGACCCCCAAAACATCCCATCATTAACAGCCTTGCTCAGGCCTTGCAAACCGAGACCCGTGGCTGCCTTTATTCAGCCAATCCATCTCATGTTGGGTCTTCCTCTTTTCCTGCTGCCTTTGGCTTTCCCCAGCATTATTGCCTTTTCCAGTGACTCTTGTCTTCTCAAAATATGACCAAAGTATGATAGCCTCAGTTTAGTCATTTTAGCTTCCTAGGGAGAGTTGAGGCTTGATTTGATCTAAAACCCACTCATTTGTCTTTTTTGTGGTCCAACACCACATTTTAAATTAATCTACTTTCTTCCTGTCAGCTTTGTTATTTTTGGCAGAGTGTTACAAATTCCTACAAATGGTCTGAGTGGTCTCTACAGTCAGTGTGTTGTAGATGTCCCCAACAGAATTTCCAATCATCTCCTTTACCACAAGGTAGACACAGTGTGCCAGACAGGGGATGCGTTTGAGAGCATTGTGCAGTGCTTGGACTGTTTAGTGCTCTGGAAACTGAGCTGGATCTAGGGTTGCCAAATCAGTTTTGGCCGGGAGCAGGGGGCTCCTGGCTGGCGTCTGTCTTGTGTGTGCGCGTGTAGCGCGCACGCACTGCGTGCGCAGCATCCAGAAATGACGTCGCACGCTGGGAGCGGGGCCACGCCATTTGAGGGGAAAACTCTTTGTTTTCCCCTCAAATGGCGTGGCCCCGCCCCCAGCATGCAACGACACTTCCGGGTGCCGCGCACACGGGGGTGGGGTTTCCCCCGGGCCCCGATTCCGCAGGAGCAGAAATCGGGGCTCGAAAGCGGGGGGAATTCCTCCCCCCGGGGGCATTTGGCAGCCCTAGCTGGATCCGTTGGGGGGGGAGGAACCGGAAGACCCTGGAGAAATGGTAGCAACTAGGTAGGGTTAAAATCCCCTCTCAGCCCTGAAGTGTGCTGGTTGAATCTGGATCAGTTACACTCTCTCAGACTAGCCTACCTCACAGGGCTGTTCTTGTGAAAAGGGGGGGGGGAGAAGAAGAAGAAGAGGAGATTGGATTTATCCTCCGCCCTTCACTACACAAAGGTGTCTCAGAGCGGCTTACAAACTCCTTTCCCTTCCTCTCCCCACAACAGACATCCTGTGAGGTAGGTGGGGCTGAGAGAGCTCTTGACAGAAACTGCTCTTTTTCAAGGACAGCTCTTATCAGAACTACGGCTTGCCCAAGGTCATCCAGCCAGGTGCAAGTGGAGGAGATAGGAATCAAACCCAGTTCTCCCAAATTAGAGTCCAGGCACTTAACCACTACACCAAACTGGCACTACACCAAACTGAAAAGAGAACCATAGAATCATAGAGTTGGAAGGGGCCATACAGACCATCTAGTTCAACCCACTGCCCATTGCAGGACCGGCCTAAAGCATCTCTGACAAATATTCATATAGCCTTGTCCTGAAAGGTTTCAGTGGAGGGGAGCTAACTACCTCTCTAGGTAGCTTATTCCACCTTTGAACCACTCTGATCGTGAAAAGGTTTTCCTAATATCCAGCCGATACCTTTCTGCATGTAATTTAAACCCGTTGCTTCGGGTCCTATCCTCTGCTGCCAACTGGAACAGCTCCTTGCCCTCCTCCAAATGACAGCCTTTTAAATATTTAAAGAGAGCAATCATGTCCCCCCCTCAATCTCCTCTTCTCCAGTCTAAACATTCCCAAGGCCCTTAACCTTTCCTCGTAGGGCTCAGTCCCCGGACCCCTGATCATCCTCGTCACTTTCTTCTGCACCCTCTCAACCAAATGCACCTCCCTGAGCTCATTCGAGGAAGGACAGGATAAAAATGTCAGATATAGATTCAGGGCTGGTTCCAGGTTTTTGTAGGCCCTGGGTGAAAGGGTATAACCGGGGGCCCTTTCCTACCTTGAGTCCCTGTTGGGAAGAAAGACTGGGTACAAATGAAGTAACTAAACAAATATATCATAAGAACCCTGAGAGATAGGGTAGAAAAACTATAGTGACTCAGTCAAGATTACAGAGCAAGCCTAGATTAAGGCTGAGTGATGAGGTCTCACCAGCAGCTCTCATTGGTTGGCAAGGGCCCACCTAAGCCAGGCTGATGGTGCTGTCATTTTCACTGGTGGTTGTTAGATCGCACTAACAAAGGACTCTTAGAGTGATTCAGCAAGTGATTCAGCTTTATTGGAAGTAACGAACAAGCACTCAACTCAGTAAGAAACCAGAACGACAAACTGTGGGAGCTATGCTCCTTTTAAACATAACCGGGCTAATGTAGCCACGCCTATTTACAAATAACAACCAATAAGATTGCTCAGTTAAGGACCAATGGGAATCTTTCCCTCCCAGGGAATAGTACTGTTCTGATTGGTCGCTGTTACAAAGCGACCAATAGGAAGTTCGGTCAGAGGAGCCCTGGCTTGGCTCGAAGCTTAACATGGGAGTCTAATGAGGTGATTCATGTAATCATTCTAATACATTACAATTCCTCCCCCCTAAGTTAAGTCATCATCCCATTTGTTTTTATTATTTACATACAGTCAAGTCATTCATTTGTACCTCAGCTATTCCACAACTTATTACAATCATAGTCCTTCAGATAAGTCGGCATTTGCCGCGTACGCTGAGACCTGCGAAGCGGTGCAGGCTCTATGGGCACACAAGGTTGTGAGTCACTGTGGGGTTCACTACAGCCTGGTTCAGGCACAAACTCTACTGGGGTTTCAGCCCCGCACACAGGGGTCTGCCCTGACTCGGGGACAGTACCGGGCCCTTCGGTACTCACCGCCTGCTCTGGGGGTCTCCACTCAACATTGGGGAATTCAGCCGTCGGAGAGTCAGCGCTGTCCTTAGCCCAACGTCTCCTTAGCTGATCTATGTGGCGCCGCCATACTCGACCGTCAGCCAACTGTACCACATACATGCGAGTACCCACAGAGTCGGATATTACCCCAGGAAGCCATAAGTGACCATTAGCATAATTTCGGGCGAAAACCTTGTCTCCTTTTTCAAACATGCGCACCTTCGGTTGCGGTTCTGTACGCTCGGAGTGATCGTCAGTTAGATCCGGATGTAACCTGTTTAAGCAGGTTGTGAGTCTGCGTCCCATTAACAATTCGGCCGGACTACGGCCTGTAGAACTGCAAGGGGTGGTATGCTGCCGCAAGAGGAAAGCACCCAGCCTTTGGCTCCAGTCACCTTCGTTCATTTTCCCTAGGGCCTCTTTTGCCGTCCTTACCATCCGTTCGGCCTGGCCATTAGATGCCGGATGGAAGGGGGCCGAAGTCATTTGGCGGATGCCATTACTCGTGAGGAACTGCTTAAACTCCTCAGAGACAAATTGAGGCCCGTTGTCACTGACGAGGACGTCAGGCAACCCGTGCGTGGCGAAAAGATGGCGGAGCGCATGGATCACGGCTAGTGAAGTGGTTGTTTTCATGCGCACAACCTCTAACCATTTAGACATTGCATCCACTACTATGAGAAACATGTTCCCCTGGAACGGGCCAGCGAAATCCAGATGCAATCTGGCCCAGGGTTTCCCTGAAGACTCCCACCTCTGAGGCGGAGCTTGTGGGGGTTCCGGCCTGACTTGCTGACACTGGGAACACACGCGAACCCAATCCTCAATCTCTTTATCCAGCCCAGGCCACCAGACATACCCCCTGGCCAACGCTTTGGTGTGCACCATTCCAGGGTGCCCCTCGTGCAGAGATTCTAGAACTCTGTTCCTGAGCTTGTCAGGGACCACCACCCTGTTGCCCCATAAAACACAGCCCTTAGAAATGGACAGTTCACTTTGGCGGCATTTGTAGGGTCCAAATTCAGGTTCAACACTCCCAACTGGCCACCCCCTCCAAACCCAGTTTAAAACACGGGACAGCACGCTATCTTTAGCCGTGTGTGCAGCAATGTCCCTGGACGATACAGGAGCCTGAGGGAGTTCGTCCAGTGCCAAGACCTCACAAGCAGGAGCAGGGTCGGGTCCCGCACAGGGCAATGGGCAGCGGCTGAGGGCGTCCGCATGTCCGATTGCCTTCCCAGGCCGGTGTTCAAGGTCATAATCGTACGCCTGCAAAAAGAGCGCCCATCTAAGCATGCGCGGGGACATGATATTCGGCAGTTGCTTATCGGGTGCAAAAATCCCCAGTAGCGGCTTTTGGTCAGTGACCAGCAAAAATCGCCTGCCAAAAATAAAGTCATGGAACTTTTTGACAGCCGCTACTAAAGCCAGACCCTCCTTGTCAATCTGGGCATAGTTCCTTTCTGCCTCAGAAAGAGATCTTGAGTAAAAAGCGATTGGCGCCTCGCTCCCATCAGGCATCAGGTGGCTCAAAACCGCGCCAATTCCAAACGGTGAAGCGTCCGCAGCTAACACCAGGAGCTTCTGGTCATCATAATGCGTCAGCACGTCATTAGACACCAACAGCTCCTTAACCCCCACGAAAGCCCTTTCTTCGGCCTGTCCCCACTTCCATTTCGCCTCCTTATGCAAAAGTGCGTGCAAAGGGGCCGCCACTGATGCCTTATGCGGTAAAAACGCATGATAAAAATTGAGGAGTCCTAAAAATGATTGGAGCTCCTTCTTACTCACCGGCCTGGGGGCGTCTCGGATTGCAGTCACCTTGTCAGTAGTGGGGTGCACCCCGTCTGCATCAATCCTGAACCCCAAGAACTCTACACTGCTAACTCCCAGTGTACATTTTGAACGTTTTACTCTGAGCCCAGCGTTTTGGAAACGCTTCAAGACCTCCTTCACCCGGTCCATCAACTCATTTTCAGACCTCCCCGCAATTAACACGTCGTCGAAGTAGGGCACCGTCCCTGGTACCCCCCTCAAGAGTTGCTCCATCAGGCCCTGAAAGATGCCGGGCGCCACATTTACCCCGAACTGTAGGCGATTCACCTTAAAAGCCCCCCTATGGGTAACAATAGTCTGAGCCTCTGCAGCCTCAGGAGTGACAGGCAACTGCTGGTATGCCTGTGCCAAGTCTAATTTGGCAAAGATCTTTCCGCCCCCCAATGAAGCCAGGATGTGGCTAATAACCGGGACGGGATAGGAGTGTTGTTGTAACGCCTTGTTAAGGGTGCATTTATAGTCTGCGCATAAGCGTATGGACCCATCAGGCTTAACTGGTGTTACTATAGGCGTCTCCCACTTGCTGTGAGGAACAGGTTCCAAAATTCCTTGTTCCACGAGTTTATCAATTTCCCTCTCTACTTTAGGCCTGAGGGGAATTGGAACCTTCCGATATTTCAGTCTGATCGGCTTTACAGATGGGTCAAGTTCAAAAGCAACCGGGGGCCCTTTGTACCGCCCCAGACCCTCTGCAAACACATCAGGGAACAGGTCATACATCATATCCCATTTATTCTCAAGCAATTTGTTAATCCCTGAAATACCAATGCCCAATGGCTCAAACCAGTCCAACCCCAGCAGGTTGACCCGGTCTCCCTCAGCAATAAGACATGACAGTTTAACACATTTCCCCTTATACTCAACATGTACAGTGTCTCTTCCGGCCAGGGGAATCCGGTTGCCCTGGAAGTCGGACACTCTGGTCTCCGCAGGCTGGAGCCGCCGTCTGCTTCTGGTCGGAAACAGCTGTTGCCAGGATGCTGCAGAAATCACCGTTACAGAAGAGCCGGAGTCCACCTCCATAGTGCATGGTCTGCCGTCGAGGAGTGGGGTCACGGTGATCTTCCCTTGGCAACTGGTGCGGTTTACAGCCGATGCGCTTGTCCGGGTCGTTGTAGTCTGGCAGCTTGCTTCCGATGCCGGGAAACGCTGCTTGCTGCTTCGGAAATTTGCGGGGGTATTCTTTTGTGCCGACCTGCTGGTAGGTGAGGGATCCTTCCGTGCCGATCTGCAGACTCTGGCCAGATGACCGCGCTGTCCACAGGCTCTGCAGTCGACATCCCGGGCCCAACAGGAGTCGCGCTGGTGTTTCCCGCCACAACCGGAGCAAGGCTTGACGATGGTAGGCTTCGCTGGGGTCCGCTTGCCTCGAACCGCGTTGACGTCATCGTCTGCTTCCTCGCTCTCGCTGTCCCGCTGCGAGTGGACGCTGTGCTCTGCCATCCGCTGGCGGACCTCCTTCGTGGACCTATCCGCTGCTTCTGCGGCCAAGGCCTCTTCGTAGGCCACTGCCCAGGTCAGAGTGGTACGGGCGAACAGCCTTTGTTGTAGCTTCTCGTCTCTGAGGCCGCAGACAAGACGGTCTCGGAGGGCTTCTTCCACGTCATGGAAGTTGCACGGCCGTGCAGCTTTGCGAAGGGCCGCCACGAATTCCGCGATGGTCTCGCCTCCGGCCTGGCTCCGCTTGTAAAACGCGTGCCGGCAGGCGATCTCCGACGGCTGTGGAGAATAATGAGCCTTAAGCTTCTTTGTCAGGTCAGCATAAGAGACCGTTTTCATGTCCGTTGGGGCCACCAACGACCTGGCTATGTCGAAGGTCCCCTTCCCGCAGGAACTCAGGAGGCAAGCTCGCTTCTTGGCCTCGTCGGTAATGTCATGCGTTTCTAGGTGGAACTCAAACCTGGATAGGTAGGAGTCCCAGTCTTCTGAGGAGGGTTCGAAGCACTCGAACTTCTGGCTTCCAGCCATCGTGGGAGACTTGTGCACCGGAGCTGGTGGCGCCCCCGCCGGATCGGCTGCTGTGCTTTGCCCGCTTTCTTCCGAGTCCGAAGTGTGGATGTCCGCAGGGCTGCCTACCTGCTCTAACATCCCATCCTCGTCGCCAATTGTTAGATCGCACTAACAAAGGACTCTTAGAGTGATTCAGCAAGTGATTCAGCTTTATTGGAAGTAACGAACAAGCACTCAACTCAGTAAGAAACCAGAACGACAAACTGTGGGAGCTATGCTCCTTTTAAACATAACCGGGCTAATGTAGCCACGCCTATTTACAATTAACAACCAATGAGATTGCTTAGTTAAGGACCAATGGGAGTCTTTCCCTCCTAGGGAATGGTATCGTTCTGATTGGTCGCTGTTACGAAGCGACCAATAGGAAGTTCGCTCAGAGGAGCCCTGGCCTGGCTCGAGTCAGAGGAGCCCTGGCTTGGCTCGAAGCTTAACATGGGAGTCTAATGAGGTGATTCATGTAATCATTCTAATACATTACAGTGGTGGTCTCAGAAATGGGTGCTGCCAGTTCCCTATGCCACACTGCCCTTCCTCCAAAGGAGCTCACAGCGGCATTCATCATCCTTCCATTTTATTATAACAAGAGCTCTGTGTTATATGCAAGTTTGAAAGAGTTTGAGAGGGAAGAAGGAAACAGAGAAAGAGTCCAAAAGTAGGGTCTTCCCAGTCTTAGTCCAACACTGAACAGCTATGATTGCCCATCAACTTTTTTTATAGTTGTCATGACTCAGGTGGGATGTCACCTGACACTGCCACCGCTCTGGATTTAGGTTCCCTTGAGAAGGCCCAGAGTACCCTTCCAAGACCTTCAGACCTCCCTTTAGGCCGAATAACAGGCGTGAGGACCAGGCAGAGTAAAAAGGAAAAGGTTTATTTTATAGGAGGTCAAACAACAAGGTGCAGAATAATAACAGTAAGTGGGTGAAAAGAAAAGAAATCAAATGCCCTAACGTGTCTAAATATACTTTCCCTAGCTCACTATCTCAAGTGGCCTTACACTACTCATCCTTCCCCCAGGATGAGGGTTTCTTCCCTGCAGCAGCCTTTCTTCTGGCTCTGCCCTCTGGAAGAAAGAACAGCTCTTCCTGCTGCTCCAGAACGTTTATTCCAAGCCCTCCTCTTTTCTCCTATTGGCCCATTTTGGCTCCAAAACCTCCCGGGGCTTCTGGGAGTTGTAGGCCCAGCCTCACCAACTACTAGCCAGGCTCCCTGGGCCTAGTAGGCCTCTGGTAGCAAAGCCCAGATCATGACACACACCCCACCAGACCAAATCATGGGGTCCTTCCCTGGATCCCCATTGATGCGATCTGCACACAAGATTTGGGCTGTGGTTTGCCCTTTCAACTCACTCAACATTAAAACAATAATACTAAATAGTAAAACATTACTATTAGTAAATAGTAAAACATTAAAACAACAATAGTAAATCAGACCATTGGTCCAACGAGGTCAGTGTAAGCATGCAGACCCCCTGTCTCTAGGGTTGCCAACTCCATCTTCGCCGGGAGTGGGGGGCTCCCGGCCAGCTTCGGGGGGGGTGCGTGCGCATCACCCGGAAGTGACGTAGGCACGCTGGGCACGCTGGGGGCGGGGCCACGGCCATACAAGGGAAAACCATAGAGTTTTCCCTTGTATGGCCATGGCTCGGGGCTTCAAAACGGGGGATTCCCTGCCCCCGCCCACATTTGGCAGCCCTACCTGTCTCTCAGGAGGGGTCGTTTCAACCAGCAATGGACCCCATCGAGGTATCCCATGAGTCTATATACCAGGCATGTTGACATGAGTGGACACAAAGATGGATGCCAGAACTGGCAGGCCCCATAATCATGCCTAGGCAGTGACCTTGGGAAGCACATGAGATCTTGTTCTGACAGCTGCAACCTCCCCTTCACCCTGCTGACATCTGCATACTCCAGACAATGTGCCTGCCTCACCCCAGAGCTACTTCTTTTCAGTTTCAATCCCTAATCCTTTGATGCCCATTGTGGTATTTTCCCCTGGTGCTCATCTCAGGCCTGAGTTTGCACACAGAGAGTCAAGAGTCTCTTGAACCGCTTGCTGACCTTCTTGGTTTCCCTGCCTAGTTCTTGCTTCCTTTGGAGCCTATTGAATAAGGTTGCCAGCTGTGAGTTGGGACATTCCTGGAGATTTGTGGGTGGAGCCTGGAGAGGGCAGGGTTCGAGGAGGGAAGCGACCTCAGGTGGGAGTGGGGGATCCCCCGATTTCATAGGCTTCTGCCTGCCACCAGCCAGGTGGCCGGTGGGGAGAAGCCCCACCCCCAACAATCACGATCCAGCACAACGTCCTCAACATGATGACATCACTTCTGTGTGATGTCATCACATTGGGGACTTTGTGCACGGTGACATCACCCCATCCCCACTCCCAGAAAGCTCCCTCCCACAACCACACCAGCAAGAGGTAAGCACCTGGGAACCCTAGGAACTGATCTTTGTAGTCTGGAGATCAATTGTAATTCAGGGAGATCTCCTGGAGGCCAGCAATCCTAGCTAGGCAGGGAGACTCCCCAGACCCTATAACACATAGGGTTGCCAAGTGGCACTTACCTTGCCGGCGGGGGACTCCCATGCGGATCCCAGCGCGCGCGCGCCGCATGCACATCACAGGGAAGTGATGTCATGACGCCGGGCAGATTAGAGACTGAATGGTCATTAGCCACTGCATTCTTCTCTGGCAATGTTTTTTAAGTAACGGACCCATTAACCACCTCCTTTAGTGACTGAGGAAAAGCATCCTTGGTCAGTAACTGACTTATATCAGACATCAGGGGCTCAATTATCTGCTTCTTACAATATTTCAGTAGCCAGGATGGCCTTCAACAGCCCCAAGAAGGTAAGCCAATCAGAAAGGCCCACAAACATACCAGATGGTGCACTGGACTCTTGTACTGCCTACTTTCTACATACTCATACAGTACCGTGCAGTTGGCAGTATTTCATATGTATGTGTTAACCCAGTGGAAGTCCTAATGTATGCCCATCAAAGATTTATCATCACTGTGCATCATTCTGCAGATGACTGTTTAAACACACAACTGGGTCAGTTAGCCAGTGACTGTGAATAATTTTTTTAAAATTCTAAAAATACCCTTTGACGTTCATCTGAATCCATGTTATTTCGTCGCCGGGCTTTCATGTTAGCCAGAGTGAATACTTTCCCTTCAGCTGTCCTTTCCGGCAGGTATCAGAAAATCCCTTTTGAGAACAGACTATGTAATCAATGTTCATTAGAAACTGATTCAGTTTCTCATATCTTACTTTATTGTCCGAAGTTCCACAAACTTTGTAAATACCTTCTTGACCCAGTTATTCCTAATTTTCCTGGTTCTTGTGAGGGAACTACTCAATAACTATTGGCGGATAAATATCCTAAAGTGACAGAAATGGTGGCAGAGTATTTGGCTAACGTCCTGTTAGTAACTACCCCACTCAATCAAAGCCAGGGAACTCTTGTTTGAGATCATTTGAGATATTACATCTGATGATATTGTTTTAACTTTAAAACATTTTTATCTTATATCTAAAATTATTGTTGGCACCTACTTTTATTAATTGTATTTTTCCTTATTTTATGCCATTAAAGGTTTTTGATCTGATCAGAATGTTATTTCGTACATGCACAATTTCACACTGCCTTATGGAAAGTCATAATTCCACCAGTCATTTTATTAACTAACTTGTTTACCTGTGACCCTGAGGGGGGAAGTCAAATTTCACCTCCTGTGCAGATGAAAAAGCAGCTCTGAGGCAGAAGAATGGGAATTTTATGCTTTGTAGCTTTTTATAGTTTTCAGTTTTTATTTTTGTAAAGTTGTTTTATGGTTCTGAGTTTTGATGTGCTGTGGTTTTGATAGTTATTAATTTTACTGATTTTACACTTATGATCTTATTTTCTGTTCTGTGAGCCACCTTGATCAGGCCTCGGAAGAAGTGACATATAAAAACAAACACAGCAGTCACAGCTACTGCACAGCTGGAAAACTGTTCGGCGGCAGCTCGAGTCAGATAGGGACAAGGTGTGAAGGCCTGTTGAAAACAGTGTGTTCACCTTGAAATTCACAGTGCCACTCAGGGAAGTTATTTGCTGTTTGAAGTCAGTCGCACCATGATTCTGACCTGAATTGGGCTTCTGTAGTGCTTCAAAATGGAGTTCCCACCAAGAACTTACAGCTGCTGTACGACTATATGTCCCCATGACAATCACATCTATATACTAATACTGAAGTGGCCCCGTGCGTGCGGATATCTAAATCCGCGCTCTGGGGCCACCTGGGGGGCAGGGAGAGGTTTGTGCACACGTGGGGCAGTCCAAACGTGTGCACAAAAATCTAAAATCTGGAGAAAAATATCGGGGGGATACTTAAATCCCCCCAAAAGTGCCAGAGCGTCCCCTGCACATGCGCAGGGGACACT